CAGTTTAAACTTAATTGTTGCAGCTCTTTAAATATTCTTAAATTCATTTTTTGATTTTTTTAAACCTAGATAAAAGACTTCAGATTGAAAGGGCTCTCTGTTGCTGTGTTGTTTAGGTTACAGTCTGAATTATCTGCCCTTCACTGCTGTATGTTCAAAACCCATGAGCCTTTTTGATTTTTGCATGTTGGAAAGCAAGCCAGCTAATTTAGGGAATATTGATGTTTCTACTAAGAAGCCAACTCCTGTCCTGCCTGAAATAATGCAGGGGAGGGGGGACATGCGAAGGAATCATTCTCCAGTATATCTGGAAACTTGAGATTTACACTGTTGATACGACTTATAATCCAATATATAAGAATTTTTTTCAGTGTATTTGAAAATACTTTGTATAGGGCCAATTAAATGTTAATTTTGAGGCAGTGTTTCTGAATGTCATCGAGTAGAATGATCATTGTGTTAATTTTGTATATTTAAACAGGTATATTTTGGAGAATGGAGTACAGATATGAAGGGTGCAACACTTGAGTTATTGGGTATAGAAAAAGGGAATGGTACAACTTTAACAAGAAAACATAATGTTTCTGCAATTGATTTATCTAATGTAAGTCCATTATGGCATTAATGATTAAACATAAGTTTGGCTACAGTTTTATTTAATGTTAGTTGTAAATTAATGATATAGACAAAATATTTATTTAGTATAGATCAAATAATGATCAAACTTATTGATACAAGTGTGAAAATATATATTACATGTTTTCATTTAAAGTAAAAGTTATTGTATATATAATGGATCTATGTAGTTTGTTACAGCAGGTCTCCTATATTACTTACTATACTGCTCTTTGATTTATACTTTGACATATTTTTTATGTAACAAAGATTATTAACTACCTACAAACTATGTAAGAAATATTACAGTCTTGTTTATGTTCTATGCTTCTTATCTTGGAATATAGTGCAGATTTACCCTTAATTGACATTTCCAAGTGATGTTTTAACCAGTCAGTGAAGTGTTGTGGTTAGGTGATAATATTGGTTCCTTTATATTTCAGTTAAGTATTTTGCCGTATCACTTTGCGGTGTTCAGCTTAAACCTGGTGGCTCCAGAAGAGGAAGGGCTGTATCAGGCAGAAGTTATATTTGCCACAGATTATCAGGTATGTGATTGCACAGGGTATAGTTATCCCCCGCCGATGGAATCGGGAGGGGGATATAGTTTTGGCGTTGTCCGTCCGTCCGTCCTTCCGTCCGTCCGAATTTCGTTTCCGGAGTAGTTCTCTGCAACTACTGGCAGGAATTCAACGAAACTTTATGGGAATCATCAATATCAAGAGGAGATGCGCATCTGACCGTCCGTTCGTCCGTCCGTCCATCCGTCCGTCCGAATTTCGTTTCCGCGCTACTTCTCTGCAACTACTGGCTGGAATTCAACGAAACTTTATGGGAATCATCAATACCAAGAGGAGATGGGCATATCATCGGCTTGTTCCGGTCAGACACTTTAACTCAGAGTTATGGCCCTTGATTAGTTATGCAGTATGCATATGGAGTAAAAATCGTTTCTGCGCTTCTTCTCTGCAACTACTGGCTGGAATTCAACGAAACTTTATGGGAATCATCAATATCAAGAGGAGATGCGCATATCGTCGGCTTGTTCCGGTCAGACACTTTAATTCAGAGTTATGGCCCTTGATTAGTTATGTAGTATGCATATAGAGTAAAAATCGTTTCCGCACTACTTCTCTGCAACTACTGGCTGGAATTCAACAAAACTTTATGGGAACCTTCAATACCAAGAGGAGATGCGCATATCATCGGCTTGTTCTGGTCAGACACTTTAACTCAGAGTTATGGCCCTTGATTAGTTATGCAGTATCCATATAGAAAAATATTTGTTTCCTCGCTACTTCTCTGCTACCACCGGCTGGAATTCAATGAAACTTTATGGGATACTAAGAGGAGATGTGCATATAGTCGCCTTGTTCCAGTCAGATACTTATAACTCAGATTTATGGCCCTTGATTAGTTATGTAGAATGCATACATCTCATTGGCATTTCCAGATTTTACTATTTAACACATAGTTATGGCTCTGTTATTTCCCTGAATATATTCAAAGAATATTACTGTTTATGCCATGATTAATATATAAATAAAGCCTTATGTCTTCAGTTGTTGTGTTAATAATAACCAGTACTCGGCGGGGGATATAAATTCAACGAATTTGCTTGTTATACCTGAGGTGCTGCTTTTTTCCTTCACTGTAAAAATAATAGAAGTAAAATAAATATATAAAATGAGTACAGAAAAAATGTGGGATATAGTTCTTAATTACTTATATGAACTGTAATGATAACATTCAGCGTTTTAAGAGTGATTTATGTAAGTGGTTAAGTTTAATTTTATGGTGAAATAATTCCATTATATTGAAAATGCTTGTTGCTGAGGTATAAACATTTTGTATTGGCATTTTGGTATCTTATGACATAATTGAAGTATTGTATTTTTACAGAACATATTTATTCCTGTGATGTTACGAACTTCTGAGGGTAGTTTACATGCCATACCAGAGAGGGTCGTATTTGACAAAGTATTTCCTGTAAGTTTTATAATGTTCTTACTTAATTAAACATTTTAAATTCTAAATAATGTAATCGTAAACTCTGTTTTTTCCAAGTGGCTACCGTAATTACAAAGTATTGGAATGTTAAACCATGCAATTGTTCTTGTATGTGTTAATGAATTTACTCAAAACATATTAGTACATATATAACATAAGTTATGACCATGATAATAAACTTATTTCAGGGTCGAATTCCAACAAAGATACTGCAGGTCCACAGTACTTTTCATGACCAGATGGTTTTTAAATCTGTTACATTTCAACCACCAGATCATAGGTGGTACTTTGTCAGTGCGAAGGAAGAAAATGCTTCAGTTAATGGCAACTCATTACTTATTCTGGAGCCACAAACTAATAATACTGTAAGTAATAGCAGTGCTTCTATCTTTATATCATCATAGTTTATATTCCAGTCAAACTCACTAAGAGTATATTCAAGTCTATTGTAAAACTTGATAATCTGTTGTCTATATTTCATGTGTACATGTAGATATACCTATATGTTGATCCAAGATTGATACTGGAAAAACATATATAATGCTGAAGTTTGTAAAGTATCAATTGTTATCTATTGTTAAAAGAAAGTTTGGTAATTTCTGCTTCGTAAATACATAATATATAAAATCATGTTAACCTATTGGTTAGAAAATCCTTGAGTTGCATGACATGTCTCATAGAATCTATGTTACTGAACATATGACTGTTTTCTACAAAGTTGTAATGAATATCCAATTTGAATTTGACTCTTATATATATGTGGAATATTTATTAATGAATTAAAACAGAATATTACATCAGTTAGATGAAATTGTTTTGTTTTTACAGATTGGAAAAATATTTTTTGATAGTAAGAAAGATTGTAAGGAAGAATGTTATGTTGGATTGTCAACATTTACTTTAGGTAAGTTATAAAAATTCACCATTTACACTTTCTGCTTCTGGTATTTCATTGTTAAATCACTGCAATAAGTCCAATTATTTTTGAGAGTCATTAGTTATAAAAACCTTATTTGTCTTCTTTTGCAAATTTATTGCACTGGTGCAAAAAATGTATAAACGGTAAATTATTATAATTGTGAACTGATCTAATTACAAAAATACCTAACATTTCAAGATATATCTTCCTATATATTATTTCAGGTAAAATGTATTTGCTATTTTTACCATTTTGCTATTGTTTTTGCTCTTGAGTGAACTCCCTTGTTCCCTGTTATTGGCATATGAATATTATAATTGTATATTACAGCTGGACACCGGTGGTTACAAGGTTTACAACTTAATAAAGATACTTCAGATACTGATGAATCTTTGTATAAACATCTTAGACAAAGATGGAAAAATTTACAGGAACAAGGAAAAGATAGGTAACTATTTTGTTTGCATCCTTTAGAGTATGTTGGTTAACTGCGTTTAAATGCTTGTACAAACAAGGCCTGTTGTAATTATGGATTGTTTGTAAGATTGTGTAGCATTTTATATTACATTTATTGAGACATGTTTCAAAAGTTAGTGATGTATTTCCAATTTGTTGAGCTGCTTTAACTTTTGAATGTGTTTAACAGAATACTGAAATATTTAATTTCTCAACTTAAAAAAAAAAAGAAAATCATTTGATAATAACCCTCCTGGTTGCTTTTCAGCTCAACACACTTGTGTTTCTACAGCTTTAGATTTGTAGCAATAATACCTGTTTTTAAAGTGGAATGTTTTTATATTTCAGAGTAAATATAACTATAGAGATAGATACGAGTACAGTTCAGGGATTTTTATTTTCTGCTCATGTACAACAACATTGGCCTGATATAATCAGAAGAACTTGTAGACATCATGTTAAATTCCCTTTAACTCAAATTGGAAATTTATCTGTAAGTATTTTGTTGGGGGAAAAACAACAATCTTTTGTTTTAAAACAGCAGATCTTTCTGGTAGAGTTGGGCTAGCAACATGTTTGATATCTTGCAGCTTTATGTTGAGAATATGAACATGAAAAAGTATTTACTGTGATAAATAATAGTTTTGAAATGAAAGTATATGTACATACATTTTGTAATTATAGATTCTGTGCAGTATTTAAAGATGAAAATTCATAGATGAAAAGCAGATAGGAATAAAAAAAGTACATTGTATATATGAGCTACTTGTAACAGGGTTTGTATGCGAACAGCATGGATCCTGATCAGACTGCGCAAATGCGCAGGCTGGTCTGGATCCGTGCTGGTCGCAAACGCATTGTGTTGGTTTTGTCATGACGCGGCTCAATTATGTTATGTTTATAATTTCAGACAATTGATTTAGTGGTGGAGAATAATGGAGATATTCCACTTTTAGTTCAAGTTGTACCGTTACATCTGTACCCTAATCCTCAAACTATTATAAACCTTTTACATGACAAGTAAGTGCTTTAAAATAACATTATTTTGATTAGATTTTGCTTATATTTATATTCTGATATTGATAAATCCCTACTTTAACCTTTTATTTGAATAACAATTGATTTAACCACAAACATGGACATGTGCTCTTTTGTTGACATATATGTTGTGGTGAAATTCTTATTGTATCCACTAATCTGGTAATTAGAATTAGACAGGTCAGGGATCTATGCATTGTCATGAATGTCATACTTTCTTGTGTTGCATTTGATACTTGATCTGTTTTAATGGGAAGTATTATGAAATCTAGTGCCTGAGTTTTTATGCTCCCTAAAAAAAATAAGTGGAGCATAATGTCCGATTTGTCTTTAATTACTTCCATTGTACTTTCCTACAGTTTACTAACAATATCATTTTTATTAGGCAGATATTTTCCTTATTTGGTAGGTAGATACCTTGAGTGGATCCCCTAACTTTTGATTGCATTTGAGTCACTTGTTCATTCATTGTTGACCGCCTCCGTGGTCGAGGGGTTAGAGTCGATGACTTCTAATCCAGTTACCTCTCTGGCGTGGGTTCGATCCCCGGGAGATGCTTTGGTAGTTTAGCGCAGAGGAAGGTAGTCTAGTACTGGTGTAACTCTCCAGGAACGATGGCTAGGAAACTACCCGCCTATATGACTGAAATACTGTTGGGAAAAGGCGTAAAATCAAACAAACAAACAAATATTCATTGTTGATTTTATTGTTCTGATAGTACAGTACTTTTTCAGCTCATGTCTGATAAAATTAAAATAGCAATGATAGACTATTTCTTATATATATCTCCCACACATATAAACATGTATACCCAAGCATATACAACTGACATGGTTTTATTTCAGACTACCGCCTAATTTTTCCGAGTATGTAGAAACAGATGATCCAGATATCTTTATTTTATCAGAAGTAGAGAAAATGAATGTAAGTGTTCACTTACATATGTATACATAGCTAAATTTCTGTATTATGTGTACAAGTATATAGTTAAATTTATTAAAAAATGTGTACAATTATATAGTCCTTTGTGTTGTATGTAACTATATATTTGAATATAATGTGTACTGTTAACTTTAATGTAGTAATTTTTAATGTAGTAATTTTAACAAGTTGTATGTGAAATCTTAAATACTTAGTTAAGGTCAATATCATTAGAATCTAAATTATGTCCAAGACCAATTTTTTTTTCTTCAAAACTGTTGTACATAATACAATTGCATGTTTGTATTGTATCAAGAACTTTACCATGTTTTATTTACATTGAATTGATATATTAGTTTTGTTTATAGTTCTGCTTTAATAAATTGTGAATCATTAGCTCTAAGCTTTATATTATAAAAAGTGTAACATTTTTTCCTCTAAGTTCTTGTAAGATAATTTATATCTTTTTTACAGGCCTATCCTGACAGTGCATTAATTAGATTCCGTGAAAACGTAGAATCAAAAATGGGAGTTAAATCACATAGAGATACCATAACAACATTTCTTACCAAAGGATTTATTACAAAAATCAAAGTACAAGTTGGATTTAGACCAAAGGATGATAGTTTAAAAACTTCTTTAATCATTGTAAGGTAAGATAAACCTGCCAGTTAGTATTATACAAATGATATTATGCACTTTTTAGCCGATGAAAATGATATGTACTGACAAAATTAAGATATCGCCTCGGTCAATATTAATTTTTCAGTACATGTCATATTCACCAGTTAAAAAGTACATAACTGTTTTATTATATGGCATATCAAATCTGCCATTAAATACGACGAAAATCGAATGTTTTCAGCTTATCCACTTTTTCCATTATTCGGCTCCAACATTTTAATGAGGGCATTGACATGCTACATTCGAAATATTCTTAAAAATGTAAAGACGGTAACTTAAAGACTAATTTGACGTTTATTTTCTAGTTGCCAAACGTTTTCTCAGAAAAATATAACAACTTGGCGTGATGTCACGTCATAGCACACATCTTTTGTTGGTTTTTCAGAAAATCTATATTTAGAGAGAGAGAAAAAAAATGGATATTATACTCATAAAATCTATTTTTAAAAGAAAAGACAGTGAATATACTCTGATTTTCACTAATTATTTTTTACGAAAAATCTTTACCAATTGTAGAGTCATTTTTAAGATTATATATCATATGATAATGTATGTTATTATATATAGGTGCAAGTAAGCATTAATTAATATTGTGAACTGGTACTTTAACTATGGTTGTAAAAAATTTGATTAATATAACTTGAGTGTATTTTGAACAAAGTCAAATATGTATTAAATGATCCTAAAGGGAGACACCAAAAATGGTCACTAAATGAAACTGTCATGCATGTTTTGCATAAAATCGACGGCCATATTGGACGCCATCTTGGATTCTGAAGCGTTGTGAAAGCATAATTTTGTAAGATTTGGATTTTTGTAAAGGAGAGATATAAACTTGCTCTGGTGTAAGTTTCAGATTTTGACAAAAATTAGGCTATACTTGTGTGCCTGCTGATGTTAAAATGATGTATGGAAGTCACCATATGACTTTTACAATGTTGATATCATTTAAAAAATTAAAACTATTTATAAATTTTAAAAAAAAGATCAAAAATAAATGATTGAGATTTGCAGGAATTCATTTTGAGAGAAATAACTTTTATATTTATTTCAGGAATAATTTAACAATAATAGATGCAATTGTGTTAGAAGGACAAGGTGGTAAAGGAGAGTTAAAACTAAACAATAAAAAACCTGGAATTTCAACATTACAGTTTGATATAGCTGAAAAACATCTTAAAAACTGTGATAGTAAGTATTGTATAAATACATTTTATTATAAAGATTTTGTGTGGTACAGACATGATACTGTATAATATAGACATTCTTATCAAATGATTAGCTTCTTTAAGTAAGGTTACCAGTTTGTTGTTGTTGTTGTTACAACAAGTCACTCATCACAGTGTCAAAAGATCAATTTTAAGAAAAAGAAGAGAATTGTCATCTCAGAATATGAGCAAGTCACCTTAAATTTCACACTTTAATCTCTTCTGTTGCCATTTAAATCATTGGACATTTCTGTATTGAGTAAATCTTAAAACATAAAATTACTTTATCATTAATTTTGTAAGTATTTGGGTTTTTATTTCATATCTACATAATGAAAGGGTGTGAACATGTAATGCCTAATACATTTATTTGTATTTAGTTTTTTTTTTTCCGTTTCCGGTAGTAAACAAGATGGCAGCCCACAAATTTTGCTGGGCGTAAACAAACAGATATTGTAAACTTTTGCTGAAACTTGAAGGCTACAACTCTTTTAACACATCTTAAAGTGGTAAGGTTATAAAGAAGTGAAAAATAGAATATGGCTAATGGCTCAAAATACACGATATCGACCCAAAATATGTATGAATTGCTCGACCACGAGGGCCATGCACGTAATTCACGGACTCAGTTATCCGAAAGTCAAGATTATTGTGATAGCCAAGATGACCACTGGCATTTCCAACGAAATAAACATTCAAAAAGGGCTAGAATAAGTAGTACAGATGTCCCTCTTGACGAATTCAATACCCTAAGCATCGATGATAAACTTTCCGTCATGTATTCTGATGTTAGAAAAGTGTCCGAAATTGAGGCCAAGCTTGACATGTGTATGAATCTAAGTCCCCGTTTAGAGCAGGCTGAAACATTATTGACTGACCATGAAAAAAGGCTTAAGTTTCTTGAATATAAGTCCTTAGAGCTAGATACCAAGAGTAGAAGATGTAACCTAATATTTGAAGGTTTTGCAGAACGCAAGGCAGAGAACTGTGCTGAACAGGTGCAAAACTTCTTAAAGGATTATCTCAATTTTGACTGGCCTATCTCTATTGAACGTGCATATCGGCTAGGAGCATTTCAACGTGGGAAAACGCGCGCAATTATAGTTACATTTGCGAATTTTTCGGATGTTCAAGAAATACTACGTAACGCATACCTGTTGCAGGGGCATGGATATAGTATCAACAAGGATTTACCCAGGGCTATCGCTTTAGCTAGGAAAGATCTCTGGCCGACTTATAAAAACCTACGTAGAACATTTCAAGATAGTAAAGTTATCCTAGCATTCCCGGCGAAAATCATTAAAGACGGTGAAATTGTTATAGACAGATTCCCTGATTGGGACCAAGTAATGAACCCACCAGTTGTAAAATCAGCTGATCGTAGTAAAACAGCTGACCGTAGTAAACAAATCTATCAAACCGCGAATGAATCGCGTAGTGATACACAGCGCAGTAAAGTACGATCAGATAATTCGACCAATCAGAGCGAGCCAATGGACCACGAGGTGATTCATTCGCAACCACGTGACCAACAGCTATATACTGCCCAGCGTACCGACTCACTTGAACGAAGGGGGCGTCTCACACGTGCGAATTCCGCTTCTCCAAGACGTTCAGCCACATACAGTCATGTTTCGAGCCCACTAACTAGCCGCGCCAGTACACCAGAACCGAACCTACGTAGCAACATATCGCGTCCATGGGACAATGATTCAAAGGACAAAAATAAAAAATCATTTCTAAATGAAACTCACTCGCATACCGATGGCAAAAAATAGGACATTCGGGGGAATTCTTTTCCAAAATATAACAAAAATGAAATAAAATGTGTTTCTCTTAATGTGAATGGTTTAAAAAAACGCCTTCAATATCCGGACTTTGTCGATTTTATTAACTTGCATGATTTTGTATGTATACAAGAAACTCATACGGATGCTTCTGATATTGTTGACATTGAAAATTTTGTATATTTTTCAAAATGTCGTAGTCAAGCTTATTTGAGAAAATCAGGGGGTATCGGACTATATGTTAAAGAGTCCTTAAGTCAATTTGTAAAACCTATAGAAAATGATACTGACTATATTTTTTGGTTTTCCTTGGATAAACATATGTTTAAGCTAAGTGAGCATGTCATACTAGGTATAATATATTTACCGCCAGAAGGTTCAAGATTTTTTAACGATTTAGACTACAGTACTTTTGAAAATGAAATTATTTCAAAGTATAGTTCTAATAAATATGTCCTCTTAGCTGGCGATCTGAACTCACGTATTGCAGAATTATCTGATTTCATTCCATCTGATTCTTTCTTAAATGATCATTTTAACATTGACGACGAATCGGTGTCTTTCTTTGATAAATATAAAGTATTAGAGGAATTATCAATTCCTTTACGTAGATTGTCAAGTGACAAAAGAATGAATAATCATGGCATTCAACTGATCGAACTCTGTAGGAGTAATAACATTTTTGTTGTTAATGGTAGATTTGAAACTGATAGGCCCGCAAATTTAACTTTCAGGGATAAATCAATAATTGACTATCTCATGGCGAGTGTTGATGCATTTAAACTTATATCTGACTTTAAAGTTATAGAAACAGACTCGCTTTTTTCCGATGGACACAACGCGTTATTTTGGACATTAAGTAACTTTGACATTAATTTTGACAAATCATATAAGAATGAAAATAAATCGCAAACTAAATCAAAACCGAAATGGCGAGAAGAGCAAAGCGACAACTTTGTAACAAATATTGACACTAATCATTTATCATATATACAACAGCTGTGTAACTCAACTAGTGCTCAGAATGTAAATGGAAATATAGAACTTATAACAACAGAACTTCAATTACTGTTTGAAAATTCATCAACCAAAACATTTCCACCATTGACTCGTAAAACATACCATAAGAATAACAAGAATAAGCCTTGGTTTGGACCGAAATGCCACAAAGCACGAAAAAATTATCACGATGCTAAAATTAGATATAACTTAAATAAAACAGACGATAATAAGTTGCGCTTAAAAAATAGCAGCAAGCAATATAAAAGAACAATGAACTATTACATAAACAAATTTAAACATGATAACTCATATAAGCTAAGAAAAATGCAAACCAAAAACACAAAACAATACTGGAATTTTCTAAAATCTATTAATCCAAAATCAGGTAGTAAGCCATCTCCCTCTATAAACGAGTTTTACGAGTACTTTAAAAATGTAAATAGTAATCCACATAATGATACAGATATTAATCTAGATCAAACATTTATAGATAATTCAAATGTCTATTTAAATAAAGTCATAACGCAAGAAGAAATTCTAATTTGTATCAACAAATTAAATAATGGCAAGGCCTCGAGTCCTTCTGACAGCATAATAAATGAATATATTAAGAGTACAAAATCTATGCTTTTACCCATCTATGAACGTCTTTTTAACATAATTCTTGATTACGGACATTTACCGCCTGTTTGGCTGGAAGGCTGGATATATCCAATTTATAAAAATAAAGGTGAATCGAAAAGCACTAACTCTTACAGACCAATAACAATATTATCATGTCTTGGTAAATTATTCACTGCTGTCCTAAATTCTAGGCTTAACAATTATATGGAAGAATTCAATCTCCTTAATGAAGTACAAGCAGGTTTTAGAAATGGCTACTCTTGCTCGGACCACTTATTTACATTGCATACATTAATTGAAATTTTAAAGAAGCGTAAACAAAAACTATTCTGCGGATTTATTGATTTCTCTAAATGTTTTGATACTATCTGGCGTTTTGGGCTATGGCATAAATTACTTCAATATTTTATTAATGGTAAAGTTTTTCAAGTTATTTTCAATATGTACAATAATATCAAGTCCTGCGTAGTACATTTAGGAGAAACATCTCAATTTTTTACTTCAGAAATAGGGGTCCGCCAGGGGGAAAATTTGAGCCCGATACTTTTTTCCATTTATCTAAACGACCTTGAATCTTATCTTATATCAAATGGAGCTTTGGGAGTAAATCTAACTGATACTATAACTAATGAAACATGGCTTAAACTATTACTCTTATTATACGCAGACGACACAATTATAATGTCAGAATCAGCTGACGACTTTCAAAAATGCTTATCCTCATTTAATTCATATTGTAATGAATGGAAACTAAAAGTTAATGCTGAGAAAACCAAAATAGTTGTTTTCGGAAGTAGAAATGCAAAGAATAGATATAATTTTACTCTAGGTAACCAGGCCATAGCTATTGAAGACTGTTATCATTATCTTGGAGTAACCTTTACCAGTAACGGCTCTTTTCTAAATGCAAGGAAACATGTGACCCAACAAGCAAATAAAGCCCTAAATCTGCTATATTCACGCTGCAATAATGCAGACTTACCAATCGATCTTACACTTAAACTTTTTGATCATACTGTAATGCCTATCTTAACCTACGGATCTGAAATATTTGGCTTTGAGAACTTAGAACTTCTTGAAAAAATCCATAACACATTTCTTAGAAGAATAACCTGTGCTAGGAAAAGCACTCCAAAATATATGCTTTTTGGTGAATTAGGCAGATACCCTGTCGAAATCATAGTCAAGACTAGGATGATATCTTTTTGGGTTAGACTTTTACTTGGAAAGCAAAGTAAACTTTCATATATCCTATACCAATTTATGTTAAATCATTCAGACCAAAATTATAAGTGGATAAATAAAATTAAAGATATTTTAAACTCTGTTGGCAGGACTGACTTATGGATTAATCAAAATACAGCCGTAAATAAAAGTATTCCATATCGCATTAAACTCACCTTAATTGATCAATATAAACAAACATGGCACGATCAAATGCAATCATCAAATAAAGGCCGTATATACAATAGCTTTAAAAAGTCGCTTACTTATGAAAAGTATCTAAATTTAATCCCGCGCAATGACTACATTACGCTTTTCAAATTTAGAACATGTAATACAAGACTCCCATCAGAGACCGGGCGCTATGACGGTACCGCTTTCTTAGATAGAACCTGTCCTCTGTGTACAAGTGGCTCCCCAGGCACAGAAAGACATTACATTTTTAACTGTAACTATTTTAACAATCAACGCAGCATGTATCTTAATAACTTTCACTTAGTTGATAACGAAAACAGTTTTGAAAGCTTAATAAATTCAACAAATGTGCCCAAACTGTTGAATCTTTGTAAATTTATCCGTATAGTCTTGGCAAAATTTTAATTATATAGCATCCAACATATTTATGATAACAGTTTTACAGACTTACCCTTTTCCTCGCCAAAATAATCCATAAAGATACTTCTGCAATACTTGAATACATATATACTCAGTGTGAGAACTTTCCCATATTGAGCGCGCGCATATCTATTTATATCTTTCGCCAATTATAAATTATCCGTTATAATGCTACCTTGTTGAATTTTACCCGAAACAGCGTAATTAAATTACAAACTTATCGTTTCAAAACTCTTTCAAAAATATATTTATTTTATTTATTTTGTTTTTGTTATTATTATTATTATTACTTATTTTTCCAATAATAGTGATAATAACAATAATAATAAAAATACACCAAGGTCAAGATCTATATTGAAGCGTGACATAACTAATCAAGGGAGAATCTCAAAATTATATTTGAAGTAAAGTTTTAGCATAAAGATGTATTTATAACTTGATTGAATCTCTTAGTACATTCTTTTATATATGTGTGTTTTTGCTTTTGTTTTTATTATTATTTCTTGTTTTTCTTATCAAGATGAACTGTTAAATTATCTAGAATTAAGAATATCCGAATTCCCCCCCCCCCCTCAAAGAAAACACTGTAATAATTCACCATATTGTTTAAATTATAAGAAAAAAAAATATATTGTGCAAAATTATGTATGTTTACTGCTGGAAAACTAATGTATTATATATTTGTTATATTAGAAAATCCTCATATTGTACAAATGTGCTTGAGTGAATAAAGATATCTGTCTGTCTGTCTGTCTGTCCCTAGCTTCAGATTATATTGATTAACTTGATTGACTATAAATAAGTCCAAACAAGTAATACATGTGATGGATGTTGTAAAAATACATTGTAACAGGTAGAGTTGTCCAGATGTAAATTATGAAAAATATTTCTAAAGTTGTATATCACACTTATCATGTTATGACATGACATAATTTATTTTACACACCTTGTGTTTTATAAATGTGTATGTCAAACATGGGAACTAATAGTGTGTTATCATATAGTGATATTGTGCCAATGGTAATGAAGGGCAGTATTATTTGATAAGTATGTCTGTAGTTATATTTAACTAAAAGTGAATACTTCTCTTTCATTCAATAGTAATTTAAAGTATATTTAAAATCTTGTGAAAAATGACATCTTAAACATGATTTATGATGATGAATTGGTTTATTTTGAATTTATTATGTTTTGAATAATAAGTGGTTTTTCATAGGTTTGTTTTTCTTGGTATATTTTCAGAACGGAAACACGCCAAGAATTTGGTGCCTAATTTTACAGTAAAAAGATCATTTACATTACGTAATACAGGAGAATTACCATTTTATGTACATGGATTCAGTATAAATAACGCAGCATGCGAGGGTTATGGTTTTAGGGTGCTGGAATGTGAGGGATACGAGATGTTACCTAATACTAGTCGCAAAGTTGATATAGCGTAAGTTTTTTTATACATTGTTGTATTGGTTCTCACAAAATAAATAACCTAAAGATGATATACTTATTTTACCCAAATGCTTGCTTGTTCTTGAAAGATACTTAGATTATTTTTCCACTCATAAATAAGATAACAATAACAGTTTCAGTGCAACAAGTTTTCCATTCCCCCTAGTGGGACCCTCTATCTGTCTTCCAAGATGTAGATTAAAATGAAAGTTTTTAAATAAATACAGCATGAACTGACATTGGAAAATTTCTGCACTATATTATTGATAATTTCAAAAAATTAATTGTATATTGATAGCTTTAGTATGTCTGATTTCTACTTACAGTTTTACACCAGATTTTACAATGTCAAGAATACAGCGTACGTTAACAATATTCACGAGTTTAGGGACAGAGTTTAATTATACACTTCAAGCTACGGTTCCCACTCATACGTTATCAAAATGTGCTGCTTCATTACCGAGACCTAATTGGGAACCAGTTTTATACTACTCTATAGTTTGTGTCATGAGTTTTATCTTATTTTGTATACTGGTAGCATCTTATTTTGAAGCTGATAGAATTTTCGTTGCCGATATTTTAAAACGAAAAGTTAAAATGTGCAATGGAACACCAACCTACCAGAAAGAGAAAATATTTGACTTGAAGAATATTGGAGTGTCACACATTAATGGTCAATCTAGTCCAGTATCAACACCTAAAACACTACAACCAAGTAATCTTAACAGAATTCCACGTCCAATTATTGAGATGACCAACGGTCATGTTGAACATCAAACCCGAGAATCATTCATGACATATTTATCTGGGCTATTTAAAAGCTTTTTTGTACGTAAACCTTCAACAATACGTAAGAAGGTCAATAATAATGTAGAGAGTCCAGCACCCTCATCTAAACATGCACCTGATTCAACAGCGATGAAAGAAAACGTAGTTACAGAGAAAGTAAAACCTTTGCCATCTCAGGATGTTGTTATTCCAGAGAAATCCAACCATATCTATTCCCAACAGAAGTTAACTCTTCGTAAACCAAAACCTGTTAAAAAGTCTCCCACAGAAATATCTCCCCCAGTCGATAACCAGAACTTGACACCAAGCAGTAATTATGAAAGGAAACATAGCAATAAGTCCAATACATCACAGATGGACAAGAAAACAGACACACCAAACATTGTGAAAGATATCACCCCACCAGTTATGACGACACAAGACTCCAGCGGCCTTGCTTGTTTTGATGAAGTCAAGCCATATGACAGTAAGTGTGATAAATTATAAACCAGAAAAAAACAACACTTGCTTTTCATAATTAATGTCTTTCGTACTATTTAATTGGTACAGGTGTTTGATATTTGAAGGCACCATAGCTAAGTCATTTTATCTATGTTGTTTTCTTTACATATTTTGTTCATTTTAGGTGCATATGTTTTGGTAAATATTTGAACTAAATGCATGTGTTCATTTTACAAAAATAGATATTACTTACATACAATGTGTTTAATGTATGTTAACATTTTACAGATAAACAAAAGTGCAAGAAGAAGCTGCGGAGCAAACCCGAACGTGACAATATAATCAAGGACCGTCTTTTACTGAGGCAGAACGATGACAAAGATGAGACGTCATCAACAACAACCGACTCTTCTACTGGAGATCTGGAAGAAAAGGTTATTTATGTGTGCAATAAAACAAAACTTCAAACATTCTATACTTATTTATATATGGGATAAAGGTAATAGTTAATTATATGAAAACCAGCCATTCGATAATTAAAAGATAACTAGATATGTTAATGAAACATAGCTATTTATGAAACTGTTACTTGGAATGTTTGAAACAGTTTTTGAGATTTTTTGATGCTGGGCTTTTCAAGTAATGTTTGCAAAAATAGAACATATATTTTTCTTGTTTTGAACTGAAACATCATGTTTTTCATTGTTCTGAAAAGAATTTGTAAATGAAATTTGTTAATTGCAATAAGCTTGTAAACCTAACCATATTATTACTATTTTCAGAGTTTGGGAACCAGGAATGGAACCCCTGAACCTGCCCCAGCACCAGTAACTAAACCGAAGAAGAAAAATAAGGCACGTAATCTTGAACCACTGATTATGCCTCAACCCGATGATGACACTGATGAATTTGAACTGACATCTAAATCACGAGCTTATAAAAAGGTGAAAGGTCAGCTTAGTGGTGAACAACTTAAACCTAGGTAAGTTAGTGTGTTATCATATACAACATTGTTTTTATAAGTAAGTAAGTAAATTGTTTATTATCTTGACATGTGCATTAACATAATTTCAAATATACATATCATATAAGTAAACATAAAACTAGGCACCCGGCCTAATTGGCCTATATGTCACCATAGCAAATGATATTCATTATAACATGCTATAAAATATGAACACTATATTAACAAAAAGTTAAACATCAACTGTTATAAAGTTAAGATAATACAGTCAAATCTGTGAACAAAGGCCACCCAAGGTAGAGACAAATCATGGTCTTTATAGACAAGTGGCCTTTGTTTAGAGGTATTTTATTCCAATATATCGATGTAAGGTTATCAAAAAGTGGCATTTCTTTGCAGGGTTATCTTAATTCAGGGATGGCCTTTATCACAGGTTTGAGTGTAGTTGTGTTTGAAAATTTCTGCTGTAACCTGTATTGGAACCAGTCTTCACTGTTGTAAATAATGAAGGGATATGAATTCTCAAGATGATGGTGGAGGTCTAGCAAAAAAAAAAAAAGAAATGTTACAATGGGGAAAAAAACTTAGATTTTATTCTCCTTCAGCTCATATGACTTTCGTCACGACAGTAAAGGTTATATATGACTTACTGTATGGCTTATTATTTTGATGTATTATTACAGCCTTCTAGATATTGACCTACCATACAACATAGACAAGACTAAGCCCAAGAAGAAGAAGGTGAGCCCAGGTGTGAAGGAAACAGAGAAGAAAGAGAAACAAAAAGGTTAGGAATTGTCACTTTATGTTACTATTAATAACTTGTGTGTTATTTTATGTTGCCTGATGAAAGCAAAATTTGCAAACTGCTTCATTACCTTGCTGTGTGGAAATTTCAACTTGCTTACGTTGAGGCGAAGTTGTTCATGTCTTGCGAGGAAATTAATGAAACTTGCAAAGTGCTTCATTGATGATTGAAGTAATTGTAAATTATCTCAAATAATAATCTGCAATGTTGTATGTATAGACTAGAGAAAAGCTTATTTTTGATGCATGGAATTGTGAATAGGAAAGTCCAGAAAGAATGTTACATGTATTTAGAATATGACATCAGTTTGAACAGCTTTGTTGAACTTTGTTTCCTGCAGTGTGTTGTTATTGTTGTTTTTATGTTGGCAAGCTGATGTAATATCTGCTACCAGGTTGTAGGGGTGTTGTTGTGAAGTTGTTGACATGTTTGACCTATTAACAATTTTAACAAGTCTTATATCACTCACAATGAAAAAATATAGTGGGAGGGTTAGGAGGTATGGTTAGGGATAGGTAAATATAAAGTAATGTTGACTTAACAAAACATTAACCCTGTCTAATTTTTTCTTCCCTCCGTCATGAAATAACCTATCTCTGATCTGCTAACAGTTCATTCATTATAACATTGAACAGAAATTTACCATGAATTTGAATAATGAATTTGCCCCGTTTAGTATTTGGGATAGTCTATTAAAAGTCCATGAGAATTCAATATCAATATTAAAAGTTCATGAGATTTCAATATCAAAATTAAAAACTATGAGCTGTCAATAGTATAGAGCCTAGTCAGACTGTATGGATGTTCACGCTGGCCTAGCTCTATACTGGTGGCAAGGACTACTATCAGTTCACTTCAGTTCCATCAGGTTGAGAATGAATTGGCCAAATAATTTTCTCATTATACTGGTAACAGATTAAGATCATTTATAAAAACGATGTTGATACATTATTGAAAACTATGCTGTATTGTTAAACTGTAAATAAGTTTATTCTTCCTTGTTAGTAATGAAAGGTACTTGTGATGACTTCATTATAATCAGTTCACATATTTCTGCTGTTACTGAATACAAATAAATATCTCAACTGGTGATTAAGAGAAATATATAAACAAATTTTTGGGCCCAATACTTTTTAAATGAAAATGACTTATTAGTTAAATTAATAATAGCTTTAGAAAAAAACAAGAATACAGTGATTAATTTAGCAAGCTTTCTGTCACAGACTTATTGACGGCAATATTGTTACATACAGTATAGAGATTTTTTCTTATTTTTACTTTTAATTCACATATTTGCACCTGTGTTATTTTGTCTATTATAAATAAACACGAGAAAAATTGTAGATGTTTCAAGATTTTTGTATATTTTTGACCAGTATAACTTTTAAGGTCATTGCACAGGTTTTTGATGAAGAAATACGAGGGTTGATTCAGAATTAATACAACTGGCCTAGTAAAATTTTGTTAATAAATAAATTGATTACCTGTTTGCTCTTAAATACACTCGTAGTTAATATTCACACTTTATATTCCACTAAATGGTCTGTTACATGCTGGTCTGTTACATGCTGGAACATTGTCATCAAAACAAAAATGTGTGTGCCGTACCTTTATTGGACGCCTGTAATTGAAATATTTGTTGAACTTTTGCAATACAACTTTGCAATAGTGCTGAGTTGTAACAATTCTTCCTTTCTTCACAAAACTTGGATATAATGTATAGGAAAGGAGAAACTACACAGCACAAATGTATTCAATGACATTTAAAAAGTGAAAATAATCTTTATCTGTCATATAGAGCACAGCCTCAGTAACATCTTGTTCTTTATCCACCAGTCTTTTGCTTTCAGTTTTTTGTTTTCTTGAAGTAAAATGAACTAAGATGATAAGCTGGAATGATGAATTAAGTGGTGTAATGTCAATCTTGAATCTTCTTCAATAAGTACCTTGATTCTGAGTAAATATTTCCTATTTGTTACCATGAAGAAGAAGAAGGAGAAGCTTTATTCTTTCATAAATCTCACAATACACAATTGACAAAGCCATTATAGCTCATAGCCAATTTACTTGCTCCCTATCAGATTTAGATCAAGATAATTGTCCATCTAGTAACTATGCCATATGATACTTCATTATGTCCGTATAATGGAATTGTGTCTGTTATTTTGATGATAAGTTAATAGTGGCCGGGACATTAGATATTAGTGAAATAGCAATAATTCTGAATCAGTCCTTGTATATACACAATCGTTTAAGCTTTTAGACTGTTTGTTTAGATGTCACTGTTGTGATTAAATATATTGAAATAGTGTAGAAATATTCAATTGAAGCATGGTTTATTGACAGTCAGTCAGCCACCTATTAGAAGTTATTACAGTGATATTTTGATTAGAATTGCATATGTATTCTTGTTGTCATGGTTATGTTAAGCTTTCATGTTGTTGTCCAGGTGTGCTGAGTGATCCTGAATTGTTGGATGACACTAGCATGGAGCCACATCATTCTGATAGTGATTCTCCCCCACCCTCCTGGGATGAGCCACACCCGAATTCGCCCGCGGGTTAGCACTCATTCTTTTATCACCCTCACATATCACAAGCACCGGTTATTGGCACTTACTTTATATAGGTTCCCCCTCTCTCTATATTATTGAGCTGTGTCATGACAAAACCAACATAGTGCATTTGCGACCAGCATGGATCCAGACCAGCCTGCGCATCCGCACGCAGTCTGATCAGGATCCATGCTGTTTGCTATCAGTTTCTCTACTCGTAAAAGAGTTGGTAAGAGCATGCGGATGCGCAGGCTGGTCTAGATCCATGCTGGTCGCAAACGCATTATGTTGGTTTTGTCCTGACGCGGCTCATATATATATGGTTGGTTTATACATGGCTATGGTTACTATGTATTTATATTAATTGCTTTAATTTGCTTTTTCGGAGGTTTTTACTAATCTTTTTGTGCTTTTTTTTAAAACTATTATCTAGTTTTCATTAAATATTTATTGTCTTTCAAATTTTCCAATTTATTTATTATTTTATTTTTTGTTTATTATTTACATTACATATTTTTTTTATTTTATATTTTTTTTTATTTTCAAATTTATGTGTTGTAATGTTTTCTATAGAATCTGAGGAGGGTTTATAGATAAAGAAATCATTATGAATAGATGTAAAAAATAAAAGCTCTTGCTTTAACATTGTGTGTATGTAAGTTATACACGATAAAACAGTGAAACCTCGAGAATATATTTGTGCAGTATTGAATTGATGTTAATGTTTTATTTTTATGAGAAATGTTAAGATATGAACTGAGGAATATTATGAAGTTTATTCGTATTGTGTTGCCCTATAATTATGTATTATGGTTTAATTTTGTCCAGGTAATGAAATATTATAATGCAGATTGTTGACATAATTCTAGATGTCATTTTGTAGACAATTTTGAACCGAAAATAATAGAATGTCCTCCAAAAATATGTAAATAGAGCAAGAGTTAATAATATCTATTTAATGACACAGTATATATCTGCTAATAACCTTAGCACATTATTCTTTCCCAAAGTGTTAAAAGTCTTTCCTTTGTGGAAGATATCATGCGGTTCTATTCAAGCATCTGCTCATGCCTGAAATAATGCGTGGAGAGGCACCTAATGACTTCAGGTGTCATTAAAATTGAAAACTACACTTCTAAGAGTCTTCCATCTTGATTATTTTAATATAATTATATCATTATCAGCGTATCATTTTAAGAACATCAAATGGGTTGTTACTTGCTTAAATGTCAAATTAAGAGAAAAATTTTGTATACAACTCGTATATATGTATATGTCTATTTTGTACCAGCAACTTTAATGTGTGCCAAAGTAACCACTTGAGTAAGTAACATATGAAATTTATAATGATCAAAATATGCAGGTGGTAGCAGGAAGGCCTGTTTTATGTATGAGATTAAAGTGCACATTAAGGTGTTCAACAAAATCATATTCAAAATGTCTTATTTCAGAATGAAACCCCGTGATTCGTCAGTCAAGATCATTTTACTACATTTGTTAGTTAATGAATTACATGTCATTCTGTTTAAGTATCATTACACATACATTGTATAACAAGTACACACCATATTAAATCTATATACCAAACTGTGGGAGATACTTGTATTCTACATGTATATATAAATGTTAGTCAAGACACACCTTACCTTTATTGTGCATGCTTCTTTGTGTTGTATTTTTTTGTTGCATTATTCAGTGTAGTTACTAGGCCAAACTTATTGGGACATAAGATGTTCTTTAAATTGTACATTTATATAGTTTTAAAACTTGTTCTTTTAATGCTGGACTTGTTTTTCAAATTATGATAAGAATGTGCATATAATGAAGAGGAAAAAAAATGTCATGCAGTTTTTCAAAGCAATTTTTTATTATGTTAAACCTTAAAATACAGAAAAGAAATTTACAACTGCACTAAATAAAATTGGGGGAAATTTGAGATTTGTATAATATATTGGCCTAGTTATTACACTGCCTTTTAATGTGGGTCAAATATATTTCAAGCTTTAGTTTTTATTTATTTGTTCATTTGTTTTTTTCTTGCTTAAGAATCTAACAAAATTTGGGTTAGATGTAGAAAAATTACCTTCTTTTCACAGGAAATTATATTTGTGTAAACAGAAAACAGTTCCAATTTGCTAAGTGATTTAACCATAATGCTTCAAGTAGGAAATAGATATTATAATGTCAAACTTGAATATTATTTACTAAGAAAAAAATGACAAAATGTACCTAAATTAAACAATAAATAATTAATATATCAATGTAAACTCGACTTTTTTCTTGACACTTTCGGATATACACTTCATTTAAGTGTTTTAATTGTTTTGATGTAAATTTATAAAATTTATAGTGGCATTAAATAAAGTAGCATAGCTTTTGCACATTTTCTAGGGCATCTGAATTTATTTTGATCAGTTGATACTTAACATATTAAACTTATTAAACTAACATTTAATATCGAATATTTTAGATGTGATATGGAAGTTTCATGGTTAAGCAACACAAGTTAAAACTTGCATCTTTGTTTTATTTAGATGACTTAAGCGAACTGTCCATCCAGACTGACCAATTTGCACAGAAGCAGGCCAAGGTGCTTGAACCTGGCACCCACTTGAGCAACATCTCCCCAGATGGACTAACTAGCAGTAGCCGTTCAAGCAGCTACTCGAGTATAGTAAGCAACAGTAGTGGTGAAGGAGCCAATGGTAAGAAGGGAGACAAGCGGACACCAACAGCTGTAGCGGGATACACTCCCTTTAGTGATACAATACCAGGTATTGATAGCTTATATTTCACCCCTAATGACATCATTCTATTATGTTAATACAGGAATCTATCATTTGTTTGGATTAAAATGTAAATATTGATGAGACTCCACTGAGGTTTTTTGACATGATGGGACTGGAAATATTTTTTCTAGATTAATGTTTCATTTGATGTAGGTCTAGACCAATAACTTGTTCGCTCACTCTGTTTTTCCAGAATAAATATTCAATTGTGAAAAATAACCCAAAATTGAAAAGCGTTGCAATGCTTTTCACTCTAATCAGTCTAAAAAAGCACAGAAATACAATTTTAGCAATTTTTTTTGGTACAATACTTAATTATTTTGTGAATATTTCTGTTTTAAGTTCCCCATTTGATTTATGTAAGAAATTCAAATTTCATGTTTACAGGCTATTGGACCTCAGTTGAGTTCCTTTAAATTAAAACTTAAAATGTACTGGGAGGCATTGAAATTCATTATATAGTTATATTTCAATCTTGCTTATCTTTGTTTTGATAGAAGATGTGATTTATATGATAACTGTTGTTCAGATTAAATTTGTTATAAATTGTAAACATTCAAAGGTCAAATAAACTTATATTCAGTCAATTGTACCCATGTTTGTTTCAGTTTCTGTTATTCCTAAGACGTCTCCACCAATGACAGCCAAGAGGAATGCATGGGGTACCTCCTCTACACCTACAACACCAGAAACCATGTAAACTATTTATTTTTTGCTTTTTGTTTTTTATATGACTGTAAACAAAAATCTGCATTACAAAATATTAGTCTGATCTCTGTTAATAATCTGAGTGTAGTTGGTAACCTGGTTGCAAAATTATATTTACCTTAAGTATGTAACCAAAAAAATCTACAAATCTTGCAAAAAATATTATTTATATTTAGGAGAGACCTTTCTTGATGAAGATAAATGGTATATTATATATTCATAGTATAATGATAAAGAGTTTGGAACATTTTGTCACTTTGTTCCAGTATGACAAGGGACAACAACAAAACAATTTTTCTCTTCTTGTTTTTCAACTACTACATATACACATTTTAGTCTGTCTCATGTTTTTTGGGTTTTTTTTGTGTTGTAAGTCAAGTTTGCTGTAGTTATAAATTAATTCTATGTTATTTGTGTTGTTATTATTTCAGTGGTTTTGGACTACAGACAATACAGGAGAGCAGTAGACCTGGCAATACATTGACCGACTCCCAGGCTGGTGTCTTCACCCAATCTTCATTTACCTTTGGACTTAATGGTAACATTTTTTTTAGAAATTTATTCTGGGTGATAAAGCATTTAATAAAAAAGCATATTAAGGTCACCACTTTTAAAAACATAATCTGAAAAAAACCCAAAAAACAATGGCCCTCAGTAGTAGTGATGGAAATCGGATGAAATTTGTCCCAATCGATCATCGGTTCAATCGGATGGGACATAATCGATAACTTTCCGATTAAAGTCGCGTTAAAAATAAATAGGGAAGAAGCATTTTTTCCCAAGGCACTTGATTATATTCAGTAACATGAACTTCATTTAGCACTTTTCAATACAGTTTTAACCCTATTTAGTTATTATTTTACGAAATAGATTTAATTTTCCAATGGATGTCAAATAATAACATTCACATCACATTATATTTCTATTGTTTTGATCCTATTCAACTCCAAATTGTCTCCGAGATATTTTTTTTGCGATCGACGAGGTGTTCCTAAAAGAAAATTACCGTCAGAATTAATTCGTTTTGATACTTTAAACATTTTTGACGACGTCGCGGAACAATTTTTTGTGAATCGATTATTGTCGCTTTACATAACAGTAACTGATTATCAGCGACTTGCGACAATCGGAACATCACTACTCAGTAGTATAAAGCTAGAAGGTTTTCATTCAAGGAATCTTTTAGCATGAATTCAGTATATGTTGGCTTAGCATTATAAAGTAGTAACTTAACAACTGCTCTTCCACAACAAGGGAAGGCAATCAGTGATTATCAAAATACATGTGTGTATTAGTCATAAAAGAATGCATACAAGCTTAACAAGGGTTCAAACACAGGATCTCACCCTTACCCCCTCCTCAGCTTACAAGTTGTTTTCATAGAGGAAATATTAGACATTGCACTTGTTAGTAAAGTTGAAAAAAGATTCAATATGAATCCATAAGTATGTCTTAAATAGGGCTTCTTTTCAATTAATGAATTATTGAAACGGAAAGCCAGGTCTGTGCAACACTGTCATAAGTAAAGGTTTTAACTTTACTTTAGACAGTATTGTGTGTTTATTTCTGATAAAGATAAATATAACAAAGGGTTATTATTTGCAGTGTTAAACTGAAATGAATTAACTGACATCTGTAAGTACGTAAAGACTTTATTTAATGAGGCTAACACTTTCGTTTTCCCCATCTTCCATATGTGCTTACATATGTAAAATACATTTATATTAGTATATTAATAAAGAATATTTATATTAAACCATACAGTACCTAGTTCTACAGATGGTAACTATGGGTTCAGTAATGTAACATACAGCAGTCAACAACAAGAGTCATTGACCATGATGCAGCGACTTCAGATGGAGAGAAGGCGTAGAATCAAGGAACACCAGAGCAGAATCCTGAAAACAGGTAAACTTTATCTCACATAACAGATCTTGTTCTATAAAAAGTTGTTTGAACAAATAACAGAAACATTAAATTATGAGTGAAAAAGACCTATTTCTGGTTGTAAGCTTTTTCACTTAATTCTGGTTGTAATCTTAAAAAGTTTTTATGCCACCGCAGCATCTGCGATGCGGTGGCATATAGCGATTCACCTGTGTGTGTGTTTGTTTGTGTGTGTGTGTGTTATATAGATTATATAGTGAACTTAAAAAATCTTCTTGTGAAAAACCACTTGTCCAATTTCAACCAAACTTGGCAGGATTGATCCTTGGGTGAAGGGCTTCCAAAGTTGTTCAAAGAATTTCATTCCATGCAGAAATCTGGTTGCCATGGCAACCAAAAGGAATTATAAGAATAAATTAAAAAAATCTTCTTGTAAAGACCCAAAAGGCCTAGAGCTTAGATATTTTGCATAAGGCATTGTCTGGTAGACCTCTACCGAGATTGTTAAAATTATAACCCTGGGGTCAAAATCGGCCCCGCCCCGGGGGTCATTGATTTTCACTATATGTACATATAGTAAAAACTTAAAATACCTTCTTGTAAAGACCCAAAAGGCCTAGAGCTTAGATATTTTGCATAAGGCATTGTCTGGTAGACCTCTACCAAGATTAATCAAATTTTAACCCTGGGGTCAAAATCGGCCCCGCCCCGGGGTCATTGATTTTCACTATATGTACATATAGTAAAAACTTAAAATACCTTCTTGTAAAGACCCAAAAGGCCTAGAGCTTAGATATTTTGCATAAGGCATTGTCTGATAGACCCTTACAAGATTGTTCAAATTATAGCCCTGGGGTCAAAATCGGCCCCCGCCCCGGGGGTCATTGATTTTCACTATATGTACATAAAGTAAAAACTTAAAATACCTTCTTGTAAAGACCCAAAAGGCTGTGAGCTTAGATATTTTGCATAAGGCATTGTCTGGTAGACCTCTACTCAATTGTTCAAATTATAGCCCTGGAGTCAAAATCGGCCCTGCCCGGGGGTCATTGGTTTTCCTTATATGTATATAGTAAAAACTTTATAGTAAAATAATTTCTTCTAGCAAATGCTAGAGGTTAGATATTTTGCATGAAACATTGTGAAGTGAACTTCTAGCAAGATTGTTCAAATTATAGCCCTGGGGTCAAAATTGCCCCTGCCCCGGGGTCATTGATTTTCAATATATACATATAATAAAAAATAAAAAAATCTTATTGTCTGAAGGTACAAGGCTTAGAGCTTTAATATTTGTTAAATGATATCATCTATAGGTACTCTACCAAAGTTGTTCAAATTTTGCCTCTTGTGTCAAAATAAGACCCGCCCCATGGGCCATAGGTTTTCCTTATATATATATATAGTAAAAACTTAAAAAATCATCTTCTCTAAATTTACAAAGGCTAGAGTTAAGATATTTTGCATGAAACATTATGTAGTGAACCTCTAGCAAGATTGTACACATTATAGCCCTGGGGTCAAAATTGGCCCCACCCCAGGAGTCATTGATTTTCACTATGTACATATAGTAAAAAAAAAATGAAATATTTTTGTCTGAAGGTACAAGGCATGGAGCTTTGATGTTTGCTCTATAATATATTCTATGGGTTCTCTACTAAAGTTGTTTTAATTATGCCCCTAGTGTTAAAATTGGCCCTGCCCAGGGGCAGTGATTCTCATTATTGTTCACATAGTAAAAAACAGAAAATAAAACAAATCTTTTCTGAATAGGAGAAAGCTACAGCTTAGATATTTGACTTGAAATGTTGTTTGGTGGACCTGTATCAAGATTGTTTTGAATTAAACCCTTGGGTCCAAAATTTTGCCTTGCCCAAGGGGACAGTGACCTACTTTCTTGTCCTTTGATGTACAGCAATGAAATTTTGACCATGTGCACAGTTTTAGTTGTAAAATTGAACTTTGATATCAGGTGAACTAGATTTTGATGATGTGACCTACTTTCTTGTCCTTTGATGTACAGCTATGAAATTTGAACCATGTGTACAGATTAAGATGTTAAGTGAACTTTGATTTCAGCTGACCTAGATTTTTGACAAAGTGTCTTACTATGTTGTCCTTTGATGTAGTCATGAAATTTAGGCTGTGTGAAATATGACCTTCAACACCAAATTCACTAGACTCAAGTGCATTGATATATTCCTACTCTGATCTTTTATTGAGTTAACAACAGATTTAACTAAACTGATAATAAGAATTAGATAGGTCAGGGATCTATGCATTATGACAATCTTCAAAATTGTATAGAAACAAAGAAAAACTGTTCCTACACTACTATTTAGTGTTGTATTAATGCGGTGGCATAGCATTTTTCTCAAATGCAATCTTGTTTTTGAACTTCACTTGAATTCCATTTTGTTTAATGGAATAATTACAGTATAAGTTGAGATGTGAGCTGTGCATGCGCCAATCAGTGTGCTTCTGTGACCGGATCAGTAAATTTGCATGTTCAATGTAGTTTGACAATTTGTTAATTATTATAGGGGCAAAATATAATGTAAAATTATATGAAAATGTGTTTGCTTGTGCAATATATTGATGAATTCAGTAGCATTGGAAAAAAACTGATATATTTTACTCATAACTGATATATTTTACTCATACACATATAAAAAATATATTAGATCTGTGGATATAACGGAAATATGCTTTGTTAAATTGTTTTAAAATGTTTATAAAAATGGTGAGTTATAATGATAATCTTAAATTTATCTATATAAATTAATTTTCTATATAAATTGAATAACAGGGGATGATTGGCCAGGATTTGGAGTGCCACTTACAAGGAATGAAAGTTTATGGGATTCTGAGTACAATCCTCTGGACCCCAACAACACCTGGGCGATGGCTCCTGAAACCCCACCTGCTCCCAATGTATGTCTTTGAATTGTTTATTAAGTGTGATATAAGAAATAACAAAATATATTTTTGTATTATTTTATTTACAAGCTCAAATTTTGAAAGTTTTTGAAAAATGTTCTTTTCACCTGCATTTTCTTTGAAGTTATTATTTAACACCTTTGTTTAGGTCAATATTTCATCCATCTGTATTCTAGAAAAAATTAACGCTTTTAAATTATTGAATGTTCAAAGGTTTTGATGCTTGTTTTATTTTATTATCTGTTCTAATTTGTATATAATGGCAATGTTGTATCTTTATATGTATATTGGATGTCCTGAAATAGTTGATGTGTAACATTGGTTATATTGATTATATCAGGAGACTGGTTTGTGGAGTACCCTCACACATAGTGCTAATAACAGCTGGAACTCACTGATGGGTATCTGGGGAGGTAGTGGCACACAGACAAGTGTAGCTGACCCACTTTCTGCTGACATACCATACACTACAACCGAGGGTACGAGCCCGGTCAGCACAGCGGTGACACAGAGTGCCGATGCTCTACCAGCTTTCAACCCATTCTCTACAGACATCTGGAGCCCAAGCGCTTCCACAGCCTCCAGTGGTTGGACCCTGCCAGGTTCCCCTCCAGCCAGCTCTGCTGATGATCAGAGGAATGACATGATTTAGATAAATCTACTGTAGAACTGACAGAAAATAATGGACTTGTATAGATTAAGAGTGTATGCTTTGTTTACAATATTGTGTCTAAAAATAAAACAACTGGCCCTGTCTTAATGTCTCTTTCACTTGTAATTTATGTCACACCAAAATGAATGAATGCTCTAAAATCAATTATTAAAAGCTAATTATATATAATATTCCTGCTGTTGAAATTGTAAAGAAAGTATTTAAAGAGGAAAATTCAACATTTTATTGAATGTACTAGTAAGTCATTACTAAAGATTTGTTAACAAAATATTTGCTATAACTGAAAGAGACATTAAGACATACATTTTTGCGTGTGATTTTTTTAGATTTGCTGTTTTTTACCTTTAGATTTTTAGCAATGTCAGCTGTGTAAATGATTGATAGTAAAAATTAAAGATTTTTGACATTGACATTAACAATTTGACTGAGTGAATCTTATGACTTTAGTGTTTAATTCAATGATATGATTTTCTTGCATTTGACTTTGCTCTGATTGTGTCTGTACATGCATATGATACACCAAGAATATAGCGTTAATTGGCAATTAAGAATAGGCATGATTAGGTCTACCACCGTATATAATTATTCTTAAAACTGAAATAAAAAATAAGAAGTAGTTGATACTTGTGATACAATGTATTTAATGGATTATAAACACTTAGTATTATACTATATATTATACAATGTATGAAATATAACTGTATACTATAACAACAAATTTAACACACAAAAATTGATCATATAGTCCCATGTTATCTGGCATGGATTTTGCTAATCAATATTTTAAGGTAGTAATTTTTTAACATATTACCAAACTGATATTTATATATGCATCTATACATCATATAGTTAAAAAAAGATTTAAGTTTAGTATTGGTATAAATATAATAGTAATAATAATAATGATGATAAACATATAGTATGTATATTGAAGTAAACTTTGTAATGCTATGAATGCAGTTTTCTAAAGAATGATTGATGATGATAAGTGTTGGTATATGTTATTATTAAAATCATTAATTTAACTTGATTGACAAGATTGATTTTGAGTTATAAAAGAATCTACTTTACCTTGGTATACAACTTGTCTTTTTTTGGAAATGTTAAATGCAGATAATGTAGTTTTGAGTTTGCTGGATGTAACTGCTAAATTTATCTTTGTATCATATAGAGCAATAATGTGTTGGAACGTTCGCTGCTTTTTTTTTAATGACAATAAGATTTATAGTTGCGCTTATATTTCATAGCTTTTTTTACATTTTATATAAAAAGTAATAATAATAATAAGAAACCATACCTTTTGTGTAACTTTAAATGACATAATGATACTAGAAGAATTGTTTGTGTTGTGTTTGCTTTGTAGTTTACGTGTATGTTTTATGTGTAAAGATTTGCCAGTTGTTTTACTTTGATTACACTTGTAAACTTGCAAAAAATGCAGTTGTTAACTTGATGTGACATAACAGCTCATCACCTTTCCTTCACATACATGTACAAATAATTGCTGAGATTTAGTTTTCTGCCTTATTTGTTTTGAGAAAAGAATATGTTGTGGAAACAAAAGATACCATCATATTTTGAAATGGTAATGAAAATCTCAGTTGTTAAGAGATATTATGTGAAGGTGAGGTGATTTAGAGCTTTATATATAGCTGTGCAGTCATACTAGTTTCATGTACTTGTCATTTATCAAGCCAGTGTTATAATTTACAATATTTATAGTAGAAAATATTGTAACATTAATGACTTCATTTACTGTGTTTTTAAAGACATACATATTTTGTATATAACCATACCTTGTGAAATTTGGACTCTGTGTTAACAAGATCTTTTACATTCTTTTTTGGTTTAATCAGCATGGTTTTTTCAACATTCAAACATTTATAATGTTTTCTTGAACAAGTATGATAGCTCAAGTTATATAGAAAAATGTACATAGAAATTAATCTTCCAAACATGTTTGGTCGCAGTAATGTTTATTGCAAAAAAAACAAGCATATCTTTTAACAGTGATATAATGATGATGATGAATTGCTTGAATAATAACATGTTTGGAATATTGAATTCTTCCCCATAAATAAATGGAGATAAATAATCCATAAAAGAATGGATATCGATAAAATGTGACAAATAATAATAAAGAATTTAAGACAAAAATTTGACGTATTTAGAACTGTATCATGAAAAAATAATATTCTAGTCAAAATCAAACATTGTGACAAACTATGTTTGGTAAATTAATTATATTTCTCAGCTTGTGATCTAATCTATTTAATGATACAGTTCTGTAAGGAATGATTTTTGTGTAGGAGAATTATATCTGTAGACATACAAAACCACCCCGGACATGAGAAACTTGGACGTGAGAAACTTACCCTATATTATCCACTTTGAATACATGCATATGTGTGTGTCATCAGTCCACAAATGCACGTGCTTTTACGTGGCATAGTGACATGCAAGTGCTGTATTTATTGAGTAGATATTCACATGAAATTGACTAATAGAAATGCTGTATGTTAAGTAATGGAAAGTATTTACAGAAAACGTTTTAAAGAAAAGAGATATTATAATAAATTGACAGCTTTTAGTACACGGACGTGACTTTTTAATAAGATAATTTTTTTTTAATTCTGCTGATAATACTTAATATACTTTAGGAAATCAAAAAAAATTGTTACTGTTTTTTAGTTTGGTGCAATAAAGCAGTTACTAATGCAAGAATTTTTGTAAAAAAAATGTTTTAAATGTTTATTTAATGACATGATCTTTAAACATAGAGTATGGACCACTCAGATTTATAGCTGGTATCTTTTAATAGTAAAAAGCTATAAATTTGTTTTACTCTTTGTTAAAAGTCAAGTCTTTGAGTGTTTTTTTTTTCAGACAAAATGATAATATCTAAGTAAGATTTTCTTGTTAAAATTTTATCTTTCCTTGGTAACATTTTAAGTTTATCAGTACATTTGTTAAGTTCTAAATTCTTGCCTCAAGATGAGGTGAATAATTCTTTAATAATTATTCTGTTAATTATGTTGGCATTTTTAAGTTAGAATAATTTTATAATTCAAGTTATAAATACTAACCTAAAAATGTTGTTTTTATTTTTTTTAATCAGTATTTTGACAATATTTGTTATTTTTTTCTGTTAAGTTTTAATTTATTACCCTCATTATGAGAGTATTTTGATTTCAGCAGGCTGTCCTCCAGAAACTTAAACTTTCTCTACGAACTAATCTATATTTCCAGCTTTCTCACTAAGAAATTTGATTGTAAAAAAAGATGAAGAAGTTTGTTTGAAATTTCTCTTTTTTTTCTTATCTTACCACTTTGTGACTGTCTGCTAGTGATTTCTTCTTTACTCTTTTATAATAGTTATTTTAAAATTCCACACCTGGTTGACAGCCTATTACAAACTGTTTTTTCTTTGACGTTTCAGGTTTATTTTAATTTATCTGTACAGAACAAACGTTTTGTTGGACAAGTTTATCAAACCATTATTATTTATGTTTTTAAGAGCAGTGAAATAACTGCAATCGATATAAATAACCTTTTTAATGTATTGATAATAAGTTTTTATGTTTGCTGTTTTTTTTTTTCATATTAAGGACAGGATCCTACTATAAGGGTGATGTCATGGTGTCAGGTGTCTACACCAATGTAAAACCATATAACTGTGTGTCTTGAAATACCATGTTTCCTTTTGTATTTAATGCTTGTTGGTTGAGATTAAGCTGGAAATATTACACCAGAGACATAGGTTTATTATAAATGCCCCCTTAAGGGGAGGTAATTTATTTCCTACTTTATTATCTCCCTTAAAATACTCGGAAACAGAACTGTGAGTTAAGGCAGTAAAAAACATTAAGTTAATTGCTTGGTTTTCTTTACAGCCTCTCTCAGAAAAATAAAACAATTACTGCAATAAAATGTTGTTCTTTTTCTTGTGTCACACTTGAATTTATAGTAAATACATGTACATGTGACTTGATGCCAAAGCTTTTCTAGCTGGACATTTTCTATAATGAATGTTTAGTTTGTGAGGAAGCTAGTATCCAGCTTGATTCAGGAGGATTATATTTTAACTGGTAGCCACACCTGTCTTAACTGGCGTGCTGATAAACACCTAGAAGTGTTTGTTTTTGCAATGAAATGCAATATAATCAGTGCTTGGGACAATTCATTGCCTATATATGTTGCTGACCTACATGTACTAAGCTTTATCGGTGTTCTGCTTAAAAGATACGCTAGTGTACTACTAGGAACTTTGCAGATAAACCAATTAACATGTTCTTTATTTAAGTGATTGTGTGTACCCTCGTGAAGAAAACACGTTTTATGATAAAATTTAGCCATTGTGCCTTAGTTGGAGCAGGTAGGTATATTAACGTTAATATACGTACCTGGTTGGAGAGATTATTTTATCTTGAAGTAACTAATTTAAATAGCCCTGTACTGTACATATGGAGTAATGATCTAAATTAATGTACAAGTTTGCTAAAACTGTTATATAGCTCAGTCTATCCTATACTAAATAAATTGGAATACGTCCAGAATAAAGAAAACAATGATATTTGAAAACACTAAAGAAAATTGTCACATTGTCTACCCGACGCAAGTCGTTGCTGATTTTTTAAGGAAACAGAACTGTATCATCTCTTGTGTTTCTCCATCGATTGGTATTTGGCAAAATCTGTCGGAGTTAAGTCCGGTGAATACGGATTTATTGTTTTTAAGATGTGTTGATGTCTAAAACGTTTCGCAATACCGCATTTCAAATGTCATAAACAATAATTCACAAGTGCAACACACATTTACTCGTAAATCAAAGTATGATATTACCGGAAACAGATACCAGGTATACTCGAGTATTTGTATCAGGATAAGATAGATAGATCATATGTATGATGTCATAACCCCTGTCAAGTAGCCAGTTCTATGATGATCAGTCCAGCGCATCACAAATGGACGTAACTATTGATAGATTCCTACTCTGACCTTTAATTTGAATAACAATAGAGTTGACCACAAACATGAGCATGTGCTCTTTTGCTAAAAAAATACGTTGCGGTGAAATTCTTATTGTATCCACTAATCTGAGAATTAGAATTGGACAGGTCGGGGATCTACATGTATGCATTGTAACACCGTACCGCGACTTACATTCTCTTCTAGGCTGTGCCCTGACCGTCATGAAACCGAAGGTGACCTCCCTGTCCATTGAATATTCTTTTTTGGTTGACTGAACAAACTTCAGTGTTTCTTTCGATGTTTCTTTACGAGACAATGGCATAATAGAATCATTTTACGGACCTCTGACGTCGGCTTTTCCAAGTTAGAATACGTTGAACTCTGAATGGTGTTGATTGATTTTCTTTAGACCTGGCGGTCAAGGATAACCTACGAAAATGCAAGCACTTATTTCCAGTTTCAATTGCAACTTTAAAATGACGCTAGACTTTGATATAATATAGAAAATTGAAAGAAAGAATGATAAATTCTATAAGATTTTTTTGCGACAAAAAAAATTAAAAAAATAACGGTTTCTGTTTTAAATATTTTTTTGCACTGTCTATGACCAGCGGTGTAACAGAGGCCGATAGTCTGGGACATATTACATACCCGGTGCCCAGAATAAATAAACTTAAAACACACACACGCCCTGTCTTTAAGTTTTGCAACTGTTTACAAGTCAAATAGAATAACTATTGTCCTTATTATTTCAACCTCCATTTACAAAACTTAGTTACTTCAAATACAATAAGGAATTGATATGATTTCATTACCATGAAAATGATGCTAGTTTTAGTACGATATGTATTTCGATAACAAAGATATTTTGGACTCTGAATGTACTGGGTATGATATGCATTTGATACGTGAAAATTAAAAAAAATGTATATATGGGGGACGATCCGCATTTGAAATGGATACCCAGCCCGCATAGCTCAATCGGTTAGAGCGCGAAACTTGTAATCTCGACATTGTGGGTTTGATTCCCGGCTGGCCAACTAAAGTTACTATGAGACTTTAAAACGAGGTCCCGTGTACGAGTCCTTAAACACTTGGCACGTTAAAGAACGGGGAAGCTTATGGAATTTGGGCATCTTTCTGTATCTTGGCAAGTTGCACTATCCTCCAAAAATCTAAAATGACTAATACTCTTCTGGAGGACTCGCCCATTTGGGCAACCGGTGGCGAGTATAAATAAACTCAAATACACACACACGCACGCACGCACGCACGCACGCACGCACACACACACACACACACACACACACACACACTTTGAGATGGATTTATTTAGACTGGAAATGGAAGCAATGCTTTATTGATAAGACTGGAACAATATTGGAACACCACGTGGTTCTAACGCTGAAAGATCATTGGCACGGACCTTTCTTAAGGTGCGAAATAATATTTTCATACAGTATGGTTGTTTTTTTTATGACCATATTCTGAAGAAAAAAACACACAATTTTCTGTCTGTCTGATAATCATAATCAAGGAAATACATAATGTGTACGTTGTTAGCAAAATTTTAACGTTATTTGATTAAGCAACAGTAGCATTCTATATATATGATACTTTGTATCATCTTGTAAAGTGCATGTTTATTAAATGATTCTGATGTTATAAATCCAAGCTTCAAAATGCCCAGTTGCCTTCCGTGAGTAAAATAATAACTTTATATAATATTTTCTTATTGTTATGCTCAGTCATATTCCATTTCTTGGGAAATCATCACACACAGCAGAAAAGGTAAGTAATTTTATATAGATTCACTTATACCTAAACATTAAACCTTTATTGTAATCAGTTATACATGTTCTTAGCATATTATATAAGTAGTAATTACGAATACCCTGTACCCAATATAAAGTAAATGCACATAACAGCCTTAACGAAACCCGTGACGCTTGGGGTGTGGGGGGGGGTGTGGGGGGGTAGGTGATACTGAATCCTTGGATCATCCATATTTATAAATTTATAAAATAAAATACACGAACGTTGATTTCTATCTGTTTGATTACTTTATTGTATATTGTTACAAATCGTTTCTTACGATTCATTTCATCAGCAATTATACATGATATACACTGTGTTTATGTTATATGCCATTAAGTACTGAATATAGTTTTTTCGTTTCATTATCTACCGGGAGGGCCGACCGCTCATGTTGTAAGAACTTGGACCCAACCCGTTTGCTTTTGCTGTTTAGAATACATATGAAATTTGTATCTGTATTGTATATACATGTATATAGCAATAAAATATGATTAAACTAAATTTTATACTTTTTTGTAGCATCCATAAATGTAGATATATATGGTGTCTAAAAGTCAGCGACCATGTGGAGAAGTGAAGAACTGATTGACACCCAATCACCATCTAATTACTACTCTGCAATTATTGATTAGAATCTATCATAAAATAAATAATTGATTCGTATCTAAATCATCAAAAAATAAGACAGATCCACTAATTTGCCGGCAAAATAGTACCGTAAAATAAAATAGTTAGTCGCTGATTATTTTGCATATTGTAACAACAACAACAATCACCGGAAGTCGTCCTTTTTCTTACTTCCGTTTTGCAAACAGGTATTGAAGAATTGGTTTGTCTTCAAAAATCGACTTTAATCTGGATGGATACTTAACCCATATACATTAACGCACCAACTTCCAATAAAACAATCGTTTTGGCACTGAATTTTACCTATTTTGCTGGTTAATTGTCCTTTTAATCATTATTTCCAGGGGTTAAATAAATGTCATACTTACTCGTCTTCACCATAGTTCCAAACCGAGCCTCAAGAAAAGTGCTTGAGCTCGAGAAACACTTAGTTTTAGATACATTAAGATTGCGGATAAATGATTTCACCTATAAAACTGGGCTGAAGCAATTCAAATTCAATATAGTTTGTGGTACAGACACTTGAGGAGTCGAACCTTGGGATCTGTTGCAACTAACTTCTATCTTCCAATCAATCTAAATGTGTTTGTCGCATTGATTTTATCTAAAGTTTGTTTAGTCTTGTTATTTATGCACTTATGTATTCCGTTTAAATTGCCTGTAAGATTCCACAGCTAAAAAGTAATTTCTTACCAACAATGTTTGTGGATAACCCCACAGACGCTTGGGGGTCAGATCCTGCCCCCCAACATGATACGCCTCTGTAAACACTCTATCAAAACTGTTTTAATATTTAAACACAAATGGGACATCTATTACAACGATAAAAATGGTTTTCAAACAATTTTTACATATATGAAAAAAATACCTTATACCGTCTCAATAAACAGGTCTAGGATTTCATGATATTTATGGACAGTCTGTAAATTTATGGACGATCCATAATTTTACAGATTTTTTAATCTGTAAATTTACAGACATGAAGTAAGAAAATAGTAGAAATTGCATCAAAATTCAAAACCGCAGGTTGAAATGAATAAGGTTACGTATTATATGAATAAATGTAACAGTTTTGTAAGATTCAGAACAAACTGATGACTTTCAATTTTCACTTTTAACAAAAATTTCAAAATCATCATACAAAGATGAAACTCACCCCATTACCTTTGTAAATATAAACTATCAATAAAACAACTTGTTTTAAGCTGCGGATTTTAGTGTAAAACTTAAAACAGCAAATTTCACACTGAACATCTGTAAATTTATGGATTGAAAAGTCTTTAAAATTCTAGACTATCTATAAATTTATGGACAGTCCGTATATATCATGAAATCCTAGACCTGATAAAGTAAAGATTGCAAACTCCAAAATGTAAACACGATTACCCTTGTATAATAAAACCTTTATAAATCATTATTAAATAAACCTTACAGTGACTTTTCCGGTGTAAATCAATAGAAAATAGAATTATCTCCTAGATGCAATCAGAATAAACATTTATACATCTCTTTGTAATATGAAAATCAACATTTAATTAAAACCGAAAGTGAATTTTGCTTTCTGTCCAACCAATACGCGAAGAGTTCCCAGCTCTGCGTGGAGCGCTTGTCAAGCTGGTACCCAAACGGTGTACATGCTTTCGACTAGATATCTACTTAAGCATTCCATCCTTAATAATTTTAATTAAAAAAACGCACCAAAAAACAATTGAGATGCTGCCAATTAAACATTTTATATCTGTTTTCTTTTCTAGCACAATGGCTCCACGTAAGGGTGGCAAGGACAACAAAGGCAAACAGAAGTCTACATTCAATGAAGTAATTACAAAAGAATGTACCATCAACCTTCACAAGAGGGTTTTTGGCATGTATGTATCACATGTACATCTATATAACAACTATAGGACTTATTTTTTGTCTGTTAAATAATTGTTATAAATATGGTCAGTCAGATGTGATTTTAAAATAAATTTATTAAATATGAACATTGAAAATGAATGCATTAGTTCAAAACATTTGTATTCTCTGCAGTTTAGGCTAAACACCAAAGTTGTACTAAACATTATTTAAATTTTTTTCAGAGGATTCAAAAAAAGGGCCCCAAGAGCTATCAAGGAGATCCGTAAATTTGCTGAAAAGATGATGGGCACCCCAGATGTCCGAGTAGAAACACGTCTGAATAAACACATCTGGTCCAGGGGTATCAGGTAAGATTGGTAATCAAGACACTTAATGTTGATTCAGCTTGTGTGAATATCATTGTATTTTGCTAATTATTGTTTGCTCAGAGATGGACGGAACAATTCACTGTAAAAATATTTTTGAAACTGTATCTTTCCTTATTGAAAGACACTTTAGCAAAGTAATATTTGAAAGTTTGTCCAATAAATAATTTATGACTGAAATGGCAATGATGTTAAACCCGACCATAAAGCTGAGACTCAAAATACTTCAGAAAGAATGATAATATATCTCTTGAGAAATTTGGATATGATTACAAATCTCAAAATTTCCTTACTGAACCTTCATTCATAAGCAAGGGGTTCCACAGCCACAGTTGAGTGGTAACTGTTAACTTTGCCCCTCACCACTGCGAGTTTATGTCATAAATAAGACAAAAGCATCAAAAGGCGACCAAGCAAGAAATGCAGCATGTGAAGATGAACTAGTAGGCATATGATGACCAGATATTCGTATAAACTTTTCAATGGTTAATTGGTTTTTACCAGAATTGTATAATATTTATGAATGGGCAGACGAAAGACATTGTTCATCATGAACTTTGGTAGGCATGCTAGAGATTAGAATAGTAAATGTTTTCCCACAGAAGCTTGAAATTCTATCAATATTAACGATAATGTCCAAAATATACAGGTCCATAATATCCAAACTATACCTCCCTATATGGTATAAGTTTATTGGCCGGGTTGCACTGGTGCAAACCCGGGTTATAGTATGGTGAATGTCGGGCGGCGGGCGGGCGGGGAAAAACTTTTCGTAACAGTTTTCTCAGCAACTACTTATCACAGCCTCTTGATATTTGGCATACAGCATTGATATGTGGTCCCATACTGTGGGATTCGATTTCAGGTCTGTTGCTTATCCACTTCCTGTTTACCGACTTAGTTAAATTTTCGACATTAATGGTCAATGGTAGGAAATTTTCGTAACAGTTTTCTCAGCAACTACTTATCACAGCCTCTTGATATTTGGCATACAGCATTGACACATGGTCCCATACCGTGGGATTCGATTTCAGGTCTGTTGCTCATCCACATCCTGTTTACCGACTTAGTTAAATTTTCGACATTGATGATCAGTGGCAAATTTTTTTCGTAACATCACAGCATCATGATATTTGGTATACAAATGCAACCCGGCCTTTTCTGTCTTTGACCCATTTTTACTTCTGGTGCAAACCTGGGTTATAGTATGGTGAATGTCGGGCGGTGGGCGGCGGGCAGGGAAAAACTTTCGTAACAGTTTTCTCAACAACTACTTATCACAGCCCCTTGATATTTGGCATACAACATTGACACAGCATTGACACATTCCCATACCGCTCATCCACTTCCTGTTTGCCAACTTAGTTAAATTTTCAACATAAATGGACAATGGTAGGAGGAAATTTTTGTAACAGTTTTCCCAGCAACTACTTATCACAGATTCTTGATATTTGGCATACAGCATTGACACAAGGTTTCATACGGTGGGATTCGATTTCAGGTCTGTCGCTCATCCACTTCCTGTTTACCGACTAAGTTAAATTTTTGACATTAATGGTCAATGGTAAACATTTTTTGTAACATCACAGGCTCATCATATTTGGTATACAAATGCAACCCGGCCTTTTCTGTCTTTGACCCATTTTTAGCTCACCTGTCACAAAGTGACGGGGTGAGCTTTAGTGATCACTTTTCGTCCGGCGTCTGTCCGTCCGAAAACTTTTACTTTAAATGACATCTCCTCATAAACCACTAAGCCAATTTCATCCAAACTTCACAGGAATGTTCCTTTGGTGGTCACCATTACAAATTGTTCAAAGAATTTAATTCCATGCAGAACTCTGGTTGCCATGGCAACCGAAAGAAGAAACTTTAAATATCTTCTTTTAAAAAACCCAAAGAGCTAGAGCTTAGATATTTGGCATGAAACATCTTCTAGTGAGTGTCTACCAAGTTTGTTCAAATAAAAGCCCTGGGGTCAAAATTGGCCCCGCCCCAGGGGGTTATTGATTTTCCCTATATGCATATAGTAAAAACTTAAAAAAATCTTCTTTTAAAAAACCAAAGGAGCTAAAATAACATAATAAAGAACAAACAAAATAATAGTCAAAATGAAAAATAAAGTCTATTGATTTATTGGGAGGTCAATTTATTATTTTAATGAATTACTTCAAAAAACCTCGTCTGACCAACCAGTGTGTTAACATTCTATCAATAAACCCATAACAACTGTTAAAATTGCAAACGAAAGTTTCTGTTGTTAAAATGTCAAAATATTCAGCAAATCAACATTCCACTCCATTGTATACACATCAGGCTCTCAAAGTAAGACTGGTGTACACAATGTGCATTTTATTTATTGCAAAATTCTCCAGTTCATTATTTATTTCTATAGCTCGACAGGAATGACCGTTTCTTTAAACTAAACCTACTTCTATAAATAGATTTTCAGACTTTCACAATGTTAAGGTCATCAGTCTATTTATAAGTACAGCAATACATGATAAACAGCTGTGAACTTCAAAATGATTAATAAGGAAAACCCCGAAGAGCGCGATTAACTGATGGATAAGATAATTCCATTTGAATATGTTTGCATTGCGAAATTCTCCAGTTCGCTATTCATTTTACATATCGCGACATTTCATTTTTGATAAACACCCTCATACCAGTCGGAATAATCGGCTATTATGCCCGACATAAAGGCCCGAGAAGTTGCAATTGCCCTTTTACAAAATCTGATTACATTCCATATAGGGTGTCACGCTTTGGTGCGGACGCCAATCAACAACAGTCAATTGAGGTTTCTATGAGAGAGAAAGCAATCTTATTTTTTGTATATTTACTTTTTTATGCGTTATGTGTCCTGATTTTACACCAACTTTTAAGAAACATATAGAAATAACTTGCCAATACACTTTAGTCACTTTCAAATATTAAGTTGAAAATTTTAAGTAACATTCTATTACCTCTGTAAAATGGTTTTTGTGTAATGACACTGGTTTATAAAGTTAGGTGTAAAGGAAAAATTGACTATAAAATATAAAACTTGTTTCCAAGTTAAAAGTTGACTGGATTGAATAATGCTAGCAAAGTGATAAAAGTACTAGAATAGAAGATGTTGTCATATATGAATATTGTTACAGGAGTGTACCATACAGAGTACGTGTACGTTTAGCTCGTAAGAGGAACGAAGATGAAGACTCTGTCCATAGACTGTACACACTTGTCACTTTTGTTCCATGTACATCATTTAAAGGTAGGTGTTTCCAAAATTATTAATGTTATGTAAAATGATGCCAAGGTCAAGGTCACACTTGACTTGGGGGTCAAAGTTCAGATAAAAATGAAAATGTGTTTTTGGACCATTTAGTAATCATTTATTGAGGGATTGAAACACAAATGGTCATTATCAAAACTACTGGTGTGAAACATGTAATTTAGGTGAAAGATATACTATGCTCATCCCAGAGTAAAATATTTTTGTCACATAAATCTATTGAAATCTTATTGAATATGTCTAATTTGAATAAAATAATGAATAAACTTTGTATGGAACCTGCCTTCCCTATTAAAGATGAAGTAAAAATGGCCATTTCTAAAAAAACTGCCAGTTTTTTTTTAATGAAACTATATATTCATATTGTGACCACCTACAGTGTGTAGAATTTTAAACATAACACATCTACTTTTTGTGAAGTCAAAACATGTTCATTTTATATTTACAAAGAGACTGTGAAACAATCAGCAATGTTCTTTAACATCAAATTTGAGCATATATCATTTATATATACAAGGTCAAGGTCACTAAAGATGATGAAATTTTGTCCAGAGCATGTCTCCTTCATGCATGATGGTCTTCTAATGAAGCTTCGTAGGAATGTCCACCACTATGAGAAGCAGTGTCAAATGCATGAACCAGGTCTCTAGGTCAAAGGTTAAAGGGAGATACAGGCAAAATTTTCATTTCTTAGTTTTGAATTTTTCATTCATTATTCTGTAAATGCCCTCAAAATGAATATATTAGACAGTCAAAAGAACAAAACTTTTCTCCATATAAAAAATAAAATGGTGGTTTCCTATCTTGACCCGCGTGGGTCAGGTTAGAGCGCTAGGATTTCACAATAGTTGTCAAAGTGAACTCTGGAAACGTTAAAAAGCATGTCAAATGGTTGACCTATCCTTGTTTCAATCATACAATATCCACAATACCTATTATTGTAAGTTCAAGGGTATGTTCAAGTCACCTGACTTGTTTTAAAACTATTCGGTTATTCTATTGGCGTCTAAAGTTTGTTCAACATATATAGATAGATTTACGCTTCAAACCCAAAATATATAGAATTTAAACAGTAATTCATGCTGAAACTTCAAGAAAAGTCATTTTAGCGTGATTTAAGTACATAAGATTATTTTAATATTTTTGTCATTATTTTGCCTGAATATCCCTTTAAGGTCACACTTAGAGGTCATTGAAAAATGCTTGTTCTGAGCCGAACTCGTACATTCATCAGGGGATTTTAATCTAACTTGGCACAAATGTTCACCATTGTGAGGCTTATTGCGTATATAATCCAGGTCCCTACTACCGAAGTCAAGGTCACATAGAGAGGTCAAAGTTTGTAACACAAATGATAACTAGCATGACTACAAGTGTGACACATGTAATTAAGATTAATATTGCAAGGTAAAAATCACTAGACCAGATATTTTCCGGATTTTGCCCAGAGCATATCTACTATATTCATATCTATAATGCCCACATCTCTGTCAAAAGCTTCTGTGACGGGCGTATATTGCAACAATGTAGCCCTTTGTTAGTATTTCATTTTCAGCATAGAAATCTTTAAAAAAGCAGAATGATTCACATTGCTTGCAGGACTGTGTTTATTAACCTGACATAAAATCCTCAATTTGCCAAAAAAAATTTGTGTAACTTTGAAGGGTATTGGACAGTTCCCACTGAAGTGAAAAAATATTTTCTTAGACTATTATCACAATGGAAAAAAACAATGTCAGAAAAGATTTATATTTAAATATTATTTTTTTCCTTGCAGGAACACAGACCTTGAATGTTGACAACGAGTGATATTTTATGTACAGAAACAAATAAAAAGAAAAAAACAATTATCATATTTAGTTGATATTTTATTGCTTATCCCATGGCATAATATAGGTCAGTCTTAGGTACTAAAAGTACAATCTGATACCTCCTGAACATAAATTTTTATAGTTGGAGAAGTTTTTCGGTGTATATTCTGCACCTGGTCATCTGTCTGTCGGCCTTTTAGCAGTTTTCTTGTCCTGTTTGTATCTTGGAACGGTGAAAGAAAATTGAAACTTCTTTGCAGTAATGTAAACTTTAATGATCACAAGTTTAATATTTCTCCGGGCAAGGTCATACTTGGTCATTTTGAATCATTTTCAAAATTTGTGTCCACTCTGTATCTTTTGAGCTGATAAAAAGAAATACAAACTTTTTGGTAGAAATATTTATTATGATGAGACATTGTGCAGAACATAGGTTTGGGCTTCCAGAGATCAAAATTAGCCCTGCCATAGGGCCACTTGATCTATATAGACTTGAAATGGAAAAAGAAACGTACGGGACTTGTGTGAATCTACGTTGCCTTGAGCATATAACATCAATTTGTGGACCACAAAATAACTGGTATTGATCGTTCCTCTTGGGTTAAAACTGGCCTCGACCCATGGGTGCAATTCAGGCATATGCCCGAAGCTCCGATTTTTGTGACGAATTTCATCATGTTTTACTATTAGATTTTATAGGAAACTGATAATGAATTACAGTTTTCAGGTTTTTCCAAATTTCCAACTTGCACCCATGGGTCACTTAGCTAATATAGTTTTGTAAAGAAAAATATAAGTTCTATTTTGTGAAACTACAAAGCTCGGATCCAAGATATTTAGCATTACCTTGTGAACCTCTGATAAAAATCATTATTGACCCACCCCGGGTGACTTGATTTATATAAACTTATGTCATATTATGTAGAACTACAAAGCCTTTCGCATGTAGCACCAACTTGTAGACTTCCTACAAAAGTTGTACTAATCATGACCCTCGGGTTAAAATGGCCCTGCTCCGGGAGTAACTTGCCATATGTAGACTAAGGTATAAGAAAACACATCTTGAATAATATGCCTAGCATTATCTAATAGACCTCCATGAAAGCTTTATGATGCTTCCACCTTGGACTTATGCACCTGATTGCAAATTTGACTTTCGATTAGGGTAGAGATCCAATCAAGAAACTAACTGGTCTGAAAAATGTTTTCACTTTGTTATCCTTCCGATACTATACACCTGCAAATAAGTGAAGCACACCCCGTAAATTTAAAATTGAGTGTAATTGAAAGCACTGTCATGAGATGACGACTTAATTGAGCTTAGAAATTTTAGTAAATTTATGAGTAGTTTGTTCTTAACCAAATTATTGAAGCAAATGTTTGTTTTTTACCAAAAATGTAAGTGTTCATAAGTTATATATAAAGTATGGTGTTGGAGCGTTTACAAAACATTTACTGGAAATGATGACGATTACGTAACCTAAAATTAAAAATGTAGCCAAATTTTTAATATCTTGTGTTACCGTCAGGTGCCCGGATGATAGCACCAACCCTTCTCGTACTACTAGTGAGGCGTCTAGTAAATTTTGCCATTCTTTGTGCAGATCTTGTTTCTTGTAGCAGGTTGACTACATGTAGTTCGTACCATTGCTCAAATAAAATTAAAAATTCAATTGTGGCCATGTCAAAATTTAGGCAAAATGCCTGGTGTGCTTAACTTATTTCCAAGTGTATATATCGTACTCCCTGCCTTTGCGGCGCTCTTGTGTTATTATACCCCCGCACAACGAAGTTGTAAAGGGGGTATACTGGAATCAGCTTGTCTGTCCGGACTTCTCCCCGTCCGTCGGATCTTCCTTGTCCGCCTAATAACTTTTGATTCCTTTGACCCACAGTCTTCATATTTGGTATTTAGATTGGTCATGATTAGTAGATAATCCCTATTGATTTTGAGGTCACAGGGGCCTTGACTAAAAAAAGCTTGTCCGCCCAATAACTTAATCTTCATATTTGGCATGGAGGTTGGCCATGACCATTAGATGACCACTATTGATTTTGAGGTCACTGGGTCAAGGTCACAGGGGCCTTGACTAAAAAAAGCTTGTCTGCCCAATAACTTAAGATTCCTTTGACCCACAGTCTTCATATTTGTTATTTAAATTTGTCATGATTAGTAGATGATTCTTATTGATTTTGAGGTCAAAGGGGCCTTGGCTAAAAAAAGCTTGTCCGCCTAATAACTAAAGATTCCTTTGGCCCACAGTCTTCATATTTGGCATAGAGGTTGGCCATGACCATTAGATGATCCCTATTGATTTTGAGGTCAAAGGTCACAGGGACCTTGACTTAAAAAAACAAACTTGTCTGCCCAATTATTTAAGATTCCTTTGACCCACAGTCTTCATATTTGGCATGGAGGTTAGCCATGACCATTAGATGACCCCTATTGATTTTGAGGTCAAAGGCCAAGGTCACATGGGCATTGACTAAAAGAAAGCTTGTCTCCCCAATAGCTTAAGATTCCTTTGACCCACAGTTTTCATATTTGGCATGGAGGTTGGTCATAATACGTAGATGACCCCTATTGATTTTTGAGGTCAAAGGTCAAGGTTACAGGGGCCTTGACTAAAAACGCTTGTCCGCCCAATAACTTAAAATTCCTTTGACCCACGAGTAGTTGATGACCCCTGTTGATTTCGAGGTCACTGGGTCAAAGGTAACAGGGACTTTGACTTCAAAAAGTTTGCTCGCCCAATAACTTAAAAACCCTTTGACCCAGTCTTCATATTTGGCATGGAGGTTGATCATGACCATTAGGTGACCCCTATTGATTTTGAGGTCAAAGGTCAAGGTCACAGGGGCCTTTAATAAAAAGCTTTTCCGCTCAATTGCTTAAGAATGCTTTGGTCAACAGTCTACACATTTGGTATTGTGGTTGTTAATGACAAGTAGATGAACCCTATTGATTTTAGGTTACTGTGCCAAAGATCAAGGTCACAGGGATTTTTACTATAATAAGGTTTTCTGCTCAAATGCTTAAGAATGCCTATCCGCAGTGTTTTGATTTTGACTTTTTCACATTTGAGGCCCGTAGAATACATAACTTAGCAATGCACTAGCTTAGTTACCTCAGATTTGGCAAGGAGGTTGTCCTTGAGCTCTAAATGGCCGCAGGTGATTCTGACAAAGTGGTATGCGGGGGTTTTCACGCCATGCCAGTGGCAGTTCTAGTTTATTTATAATTTACGTAAAAACCATGACAACAATTCTCTTCAAATTTGAAATTCTAGTTGAATATTGAGGGCAAACATTTTGCCAAACAACAAAAAATTATGTCCCATTTTCTGATACATGTACTATCAAGTACTAAGAAAGGAGGAACGCGCTGCCCCTGTGTTGTCCGTTAGCAATGACGCATCTGCTCTGATGGAAATAATTTGAAATGTTATCCAGAATGAGGTACACAAAGGTTTGTGCTTTCTCGGATCAAGATCACAGTCATTGCATATGAATGTGTGAGCTCTTTTATCTTGAAACGACGAAATAAAAAGCTTACTGGTTTATGTTGAAAATTGCCACATTAATCTAAGGACATACCTTTATACACATATGTTGGCATGCCCATCTGTCCGCCAAGGGCCAAATCATGGACACGGTTTGTTCAGTTTTCTTAATACCATGCAGAAATTAATAATCAAATTATTCACTTAGGGCGTTTTGAGCTCAGGTCTTTTGTATTTTAAAAAATATTGGACCATATTTTATAAGTGGCAGTTAAAGAAATTATTTATTTTTTCAAATATCAACTGTTCATCAAATATTCACAAATTCTGAACATGCAATTTTGAGTTGTGGCCCTTGCCCGAGTCGAGTGGTTCAATACAGAACACATAGATACACCAATTTTGAAGGAGTAAAACATGTACCGTGGTGAGAAAATCGTGTTGCATAAAAAAGTTTCGTTGACTGCTTAGAATATTCTTCCAACTAAAGAAACAACTGGCGAGAATGCGTGTTTTGAGAAGTAAGCAAAACTAAGTATTGTTCCGTTTGAAACATGCTCTCGTATGTCAAAAGCCTTTGCTATTTTTGGAAAGTAAATTGGGGAGCTGAACACTATTTTTGTAAATTTTCAGTATGAACGCATGGGTCGAACTTTTCATGAATTTTCATGTGTGTATAATAAAAACACATCGGGATGATTCCTTTTTGAGAAATCTGTCTTCCATGGATATCTGATATAAAATTGATCATTTGAGTGTTCCACAATGTCTTATAACATTACTTAAGGTCAGTCCTCAGTCCCCCCCCCCCCCCCCTTCAACTTGTTGCCGATTATCAATACTCTGAAGTCTGGAAAATCCATAGTTAAACGCGTGCTTAACCATTAGATTATTGGAAATATTCCTTTGAATCTTGAATCACAAATGCCTTAAGGATTATGATTATAGGTCTTACGACTTAAATGACGTAATGGATTAGACTATTTTGTAAATGAAGAAGAAACCTCATTCTAAGCTCTAGTTTTTGAAAAAAGTAGAGGTATTGCCATGCCACATTCATTAGCGTTGGTTAAACGTTTGGATTGTTTTTTTATGGTCATACTTCAATACTAATAAGCTGTAACATGTGGATACATCTTGAGTTCTACTTTAAACTCTTCATGCTAGCTTGCGGGACGTTGGTGGTGCTACTCGGTTCCTGCTCGTTCCTGAAAGAATGCATGGAATGGCACCTGAGGCCTTCCTCCTTCGGCGCCATATGACCTCTCTACTGTGTTGGTGCGACGTACCCCTCCCACTGCGCCCCAAAAAAGATTTTAAAAAATCTTCCCTGAGATTCGGTAGTCCATATGAGTATATGCGCTCCATATCAATCATTTTAGTATAGTATACATTGAATTTCTATTTCGCAATGCATATGTACTTGAAAAGAAAAGTCTTTGGTGTCCGACCGTGCATTATTTTAGGGATGTCTGTGCACCTGAATAGAACCACCGGTCGACGTTCCGTCAGCTCGCTGGATAGCTTCCTCACATGGATCCAAAGTCCCTGATGAAAACAAAATAAAAATTTAAAAGTTAATGCCCTTTTTAAGTACTACTTCTTACTGC